AACTGGATTTTGTCACTAAGTGCTGAAATAGAAGACTTTACAGACTGAACATCTAGAGCAAGACATGTGGGTGTGGTCATGGCCACACCTACTTTTTGACCACTCCCACTTTCAGCCACACCTTTGCCCTACTTGCAGTGAAATCCTGCAGCCGCCTATGCTTTTTCTTCTTCTTCTTCTTTCATCTTTCTTCTATCAACACGGAAATCTCTTAAGCCAGAGAACCGGTCAAGTTGGCTTTTACATCATTCCTTTGAGCTTGAGTCAAGGACTGGACATGTGGCTTCAAAAAGAAGCAAGGACAGAGAACAATGGAAGACAAATTCCAGCTGCAGCAGTAGCAGCACTGCGTGGGTTTGTGGTTTGACGCCATTTTAATTTATGCGCACGTGATTAGCATGAATAATGATTAACCTAACCACATAATCATAACAGAAAGTAATTTTATTAATTTAAGAAAAAAGAATGGAAACAAGTAAATAAAAAACATTAAAAATGGAAAAGTAGTAGGATTAAATTGTAAAAAAGTAAAGAAACAAGAGGGTACTTGCAAACTGGTGTGATAACAAATCCTACACCACTGCATGAAAGCATGAAAGACATGGCTTCATAGTTTAATATCATGTAGTAGCCTGTGTGGATAACTTACAATGCTTTTGGGTAATAGTCTTCATGCAGTGGTGTAGGATTTGTTATCACACCAGTTTGCAAGTACCCTCTTGTTTCTTTACTTTTTTACAATTTAATCCTACTACTTTTCCATTTTTAATGTTTTTTATTTACTTGTCACAAACTGAATCTCCCCAAAAGGGGTCTATAGATGAGTTAGGGCTCAACGCTTGATTAGTCTCACCCTACGTGTAGGGCAAGACTAGGGCTTGATAAACTACATGCATTCAAATTTGGAAGAGGCTTCTTTTGTTCTGTCTATGTAAAGGATGTGTCATTTTGGAAGGGTCAGTGAATGTAGTATCAGAGGGTGTATTTAAGTAACTTACTTAGTACATAGAAATCAACTTCTTTACTAGGGGTGCCAATTCGATATACACTGCTTCTACACAGAAGTTGTGTCCCATTAATAGAACTGGTGACAGTCACGGTTGCCATAGAACGAACAAATGGTTCTGGTGCACTACAAACGGAAAGAAGTTCAACTTCAATATCTGGACCAAGTAAACGAGTAGTGAGTGCACCAGTACTAAAACCAACGCCAGCATAACCAGTATATTCCCAAAATAAAACAGGCCCAGACACTTCACAAGTAAAGTGCCCAGTCTGTCCCAAACAGAAGGTAGCATTGTTACCAGATGGACTCAAAATGACTAAAAGAATATAAAACTATAGTTAAAGAACATAATAATGATAATTATTATTATTAATAATAGACTGACTTTACAGCACAAAAAACAAAAGTAAAATCACATAGGAATAAAATGTGTGCTGAAGGGAACCCAGTAAATATGCTGGGCCCCTAAAAAATAAATGAAGTAGTAAATAGATTAGCATTATTATTATTGATGTGAATTATTAATAATGCAGTTACAACAAGGACACATGGATTGCTAACATTAAAAGGGGACATGACTGAATTTATTCCAAAAATGATTAGTGAAGTAATCATCATTAATTTTTTGGAATATATTCATGTCCCGTTTTGATGTTAGCAATATGTACCTGTAGAAGCAGAAGAAGAAAGGACAAGAGCATAAAAAATGATACAAGACACTTCCCAAACCATTGTCAATTCTTCGGGACGGGTGTTTCCATGGATACTGTTGATTCTCCCCGGCGGACATCGACAACGTCCGTGATTGGATTGGGTGTT